AACCTTTTTTTTAAAAAAAAAAAAAAAAAAAAAAAAAAAAAAAGCTAGAATCTTGAGTCATGGAACTACAAGGAATTCAGCCTCCCTCTAATCTGCCAACTTTATGGATAAAATATACTGAGTCTTTCCTCCTCCTCCTCCTCCTCTTCCTCCTCCTCCTCCTCCTCCTCCTCCTCCTCCTCCTCCTCCTCCTTCTTCTTCTTTTACTGGAACTTGAACACAGGAGCACTTAACCACTGAGGAACGTCACAAGCAAATTTTATTTTTTAGTTTGAGACAGGTTCTCATTAGTACCTCACTATGTTGCTGAAGCTGTCCTTGAACTTGCAATTTTCCTGTTTCAGGCTCTGGAGTCACTGGGATTGCAGGTGTGTGCTATCATGTTTAACATTTGCTGAATCTTGATAGAGAAGGCCTATCTTAACAAAGCTCCTGCTAAGTGCACACATGCCTCAAGCCCAGAGACCTTAATAGCATCTCCAAATTGCCAAGACTCCTGGTTGGAAGAGGACATTTTCAGGTTGTTTGAATGCATGTAGAATAACCTCACACCAATGACAGCCATCACTTCACAGTAACAGAACCCGACTGGGCAATTGTAGCTCTTTAAGTTTTTCTGGGGAAATATACAAACTTACATTGTTAGAGATTCTCAAGAGTTTAAAAAGCACTACTCTGAAAGAATTGGTCTTAGAATCCAAGAAACATGTTATTGCTAGGAAAAAAAGCCAGAAACTTGAACTTCTCAAAGCAACTCAGGAATAATTATTTCCCAGAACTCTGAACTAAGCAACTTGGACATGACCAAAATCCCAGGGAGGAGGGTTCAGAGCAAATGAAACTAAAGTAAATTCAAGATTTCCAGGAGAAACAGTACTTTGAGAGAAAACTTACCAACCAAGTGCAGACTATCCAATGTAGTTCAATACTCCAAGAAACCTAATTTCCCCCAAGAGGCACTGAACCAATCAGAACAAGATTTAGGAAATGTGGAAAAAATGAGATATTCAGAAACTATTATTTTTTTCAAGAAGATGAAATTGCAGGGATAGCCAAAGAGGCTACACATGAAAAGACACCACAAGTTTTTTTATTTATTTCTTTATTTGTTTGTTTGTTTGATTTGCTGGTGCTGAAAATCAAACCCACTACCCCATTTGTGCCAGGCAAGTGCTCTACCAGTCAACCACATCCTTGATCTCAGGACACCAGAAGTTCTATCAGGATTTGTATTTGAGTAAGTATCTGCAACAGGTACCCCTGAGGGATTGATTCCATGATAGAGCTGGCATCACATCTCACAGCACCTGAAGAAACAGTGTGAGAGACAGGCTGTGGAATTGCAGAAAGTTTACAGAGTAAACCTTAATCTGTGGATTGATATTGCTACCTTGGAATTAACTGATAGGCAAGCTGTTGTACACACAAGAAGCTGACCATGACAGGAGGCCAGAGTGCCAAGTTTGGATGAAAATACCTATAATCCTCCTCAGTGAAAAGCCTAAAAGAGAGGGTTGAAGAGTGCTTGCACAGTGTGCAGGAAGTATGGAGATATTTTCCTATTCTGAAACAAACAAACAAACAAACAAACCCCACAGACTTCTCATCCCCAATTTTAAAAGTTCCAATGGTATGTAGAGAAATGGAAATACATTTGTATTTTTGTTTTTACTGTTATGTGGTGTTTTGATGTCAGGAATTTTTATAAACTATAATGGGTTAAACATTGTCTCCTAGAGAGATCTGGGACCTGGGACCTGGTAGTTGTAAATGTGAACTTATTTGGAAATATGAGCTTTGCAATGTAATTTATTTAAAGACCTCCAGGTAAGATCACCCAGGACTTATGGTGGTACCTACATTCAATGATTAGTGTCCTTCTAAGAGAAAGAATATTGGAGACATGGACAGAGGAGAGCCATTTGAAGAGAGGTAGAGACTGAGAAATGCTGCCATAATCCAATGAGAGCCAAGCTTGCCATTGGCCACCAGGAACCAGGAGAGAGGCATAGTACAGGAATTCTTCACAGCTGCCAGCGAGAGCCAACCCAATCAGCACCATGATTTTCAACTTTAGCTTTCAGAACTAAGGGAGTTGCCTAGTTTCTGAGGCTGGCTGTGGGGTGGAAGCTCAGAAACTGGGAAAATTGTTCTGGATGCTGGGTTGTGGAAGAAGATGAAAGACTCATTTGGGATAACAGATATACTTTTTTTAGAGGTGGCAGGAGTCCCCAGGTTTAAATACCAGTTCCATTTACCCCAGCCAGTTGCATCAAGACCCTGAGTGATTTCATATGCCATTTTTTGAGGCAATGCAAAGAAAAACATTTTCAATAAATTATATAAGTGGGTGCATGTTCAGAAGCAAATGTTTATGACCTTGAGTGCATATGCAGAATCAGGATATTCCAGACCTTGGCTACATACTGAAAACATAACTCACTAGAAGTCTTGACCAGAGAGCCTAACTACTGCCACTTGGGGCCTGCCCAACATTGACCTCAAACTTGTAATTCTCTTGCCTCAGCCTCAAAGGTAGCTGGGATTACAGATATGTGCCACTACACCTGTCTGAAATGCATAGAATTCTAAAGACACAAACCAAAGTAATCAAGAAGCCAGCAGAATGGAAAGGACAAGAAAGGATTTCCCCACACAACCTTTGGAGGGTGTTTGACCTTTTTAATCACTTATATTCAGACTTCTGGCCTCCAGAGGTATGAAAATAAATTGTTTAAAGGCACCTACTCTGTGAATTTTTTATGGCAGGCCTAGATCACATTCCTAATATACATGGAGGGTCACACTGGGAGAGTCCAAATCCTAATTGTCTTCATTTTATTTTATGTGCCTCCAATTACTACACTCAGCACCCAAAGTGGAGATATCAAGGCTAAGAGACTTCTGAGACTCAAAGTAATAAGAAAAATAGTAACTGACACTGATAATTGAAGTGCATGATCATATATCATGTGCATTATACAGGCTAGTAGGAAAAATGACAAAAAAGAGAAATATAACTAAAAGGATAAAAATTTTGGATCTGGTATAACTGAAACTAGATTACTCCTTGAACAAATAAGATAAACCAGCAGTACAAATATCCAAGATTTTGCCTTGATTGTTACTCTGTGGAACGTTTCCCCTGTGAAACTAACACTCAAAGCACAGTTGATGATTATGGGGTCCTACATTTGCACCTATTTTGACCCCCATAATTTTATTTGGATTCTTTAAGAAAATAGTTTTTGATCTCTGAAATACAGAATAATATATAAGCTTGTTCTTAAATTCATTTTTCTAAACTTTAATCAAGAGATTGTAGCCATACTTTTCACAAATGGTTTATTTAGAATCATAGAATCTGGTCTTTTATATTCAAATATTCATTGTGTATGTAAAATGTAAATATTATTCATCTTTTGAGAAACCACAAAATGACACTACTTAAAAAAATTCACCATGTACAGCAGTTGGGCCTCTTAATATTTTTAATAACACATTTATTTTTAGAGCAATTTTTCATCCACAGGAAATTGAGTAGAAAATTGAGTTCCCATATGTTCTCTTCCATCCTACACACCCATCCCTGGCCACTATCCAAGTTCTGCCCTGGAGAAGTATGTTTGTTACCATGAATGAAAAAACTCTTATCATTCAAGCCATTGCCATTTTTCCATTTACATATGGCTACAGTTGGATTCATCCATTTCTGAGCAGTGATAGATAGCACTCATTACTTCATATCAACTATTCGGACCCATAATACTGTATGGCCTATTAGTCCCTAAAGATAATTCAATATGAAATTTTAGATACATTAAATTGTTTCTCTTTCCTTAAAGAGCATTGACCAAGTTTTATATTTGTGAGGCCACCATGGGCACAATCATTCCTCTGAGGATTTCACTTTGAGGAGCAAGGTGTGAAAGTGTGTTTTCATCAATGTCTGTCATCAAATTGTCACAAAGTACCATCAAGTTCAAGCATAAAATGCTTCATTTAAACTGACAACCACAACTGCTATTGCAACTGAGAAATAGGACAAACAGCAGAACTCAGAAGGAATGTTGTCCAAGCTCTACATATTCAGAGGCTCAGTACTGCACAGGGATTCACACTTCAGCCACTGACCAAATTTCATGGATGAAGCATCAGTGTAAGTGAACATTTTTCAAAAACTTAATTACACCATATGTTCCTCTAAAACTTGCCTTGTTCACAACATAAGCATGTCATGGAGCATGGACATATAGATATTTGTCCTAAAACTTTTCAAATTTAACTTGAAAATATTTTATATTTAAAGAGATGTTAAAAATGTGATGGAATGACTTACTTTGTATTTCCATGCCCAGTTTGTTTCTCCCCTAAAATGATCATACATTTCCATGGCACAATTTGCAAAAATAGGAAGCCTATTTTGGGAGGTTATCACAAACTGAAGTCAGACATTTTGAGATCTCACCAGCTTCTATATGAACATCCTATGTTCTATTCCACGATCCAACCTAGAATGGAGCATTGAATTCACTCTCACATCTCCTTTGGTTTGAGTTGAAAGAGCTTCTTTTCTTACTTTTCATGACCTTCACAATTTTAAGGAATACTACATAGGTCTTTTGTAAAATGATCTTCAGTTTTGGTGTCCAGCTATTTTTCTCATACATAGACTAGAGATATATTTGTAGAAAGAAAGAACAAAAAAAACTTCTTTCCTCATTATATGATATTAAAATATGTGATATCCACATAGTCTGTATATTAAAATATGTTCATTGGTTTTAACAAATGTATCATTCTGACTAGGGATTTTGGAAACGAGTGAAGTTACACACTTGTATTTAGAAAGAGGGGGCAGTTAATACATGTAATTTTTTTTAAATTTCCTCTCAGTTTTGCTGTTAACATAAAACTCCTTTAAAATAGTTTAGGAAATATAAGGGAAAGAGGAAGGTCCAAGTTTACTGGCTTCAGTGAAAAATGAGTCCTGTCCTGAGTGTGAGAAAGAACTTCATTTGTTTTTATTTCCCAAAGAAAAATACATTATATTTTCTTAGATCAATAGAAAGATGAAAACAACAAAATAATGTTTATTGCAGAGAATGATATAAAAATCCATCCTAAAAATGTCATTCAGCTTAAATCATAAAATTATGCAACCTTAAATATGACAAATTCACAAAACATGTAAGCAGTCACAGCATGTAGTGCATCTGGAACACATAGTTTGCCAATCATTTTATGTTCCACAAAAGATGACCATCATTAAAAGAAAAAAAAAATTGAGTCAACACAATTTGGTAATTTACACTGTCTTTATATTTAAAAAGACAGTTATATTCAACAAAATGCCATTTTTATTTTTTCATTGGGTATTAAACCCAGGGGTATTCTACCAAAGAACTACATTCCCAGCCTTTTTTTTTTTCTTCTTCTTCTTCTTCTTATTATTATTTTTAATTATTTTGAGACAGTGTCTTGCCAAGTTGCCCAGGCTGGCCTCAAACTTGAAGTCCTTCTACATTAGACTCCCAAATTAACCAAATTATTTGTGAATTAATAAGCATGTGCCACCATGTCTGGATCAAGTACAAATTACTTAAAAAGCACTAAAGTACAGTATTGTAAACTTCAACTAGGAAGGGCTTCCTGAAATGTAAATTCCCCAGGCATAGAGTTCCTGACTTATCCCTGTTCACTTGTGGCCAGTGTGAACAAAAGGCCTGACTGGGAAATTCAAAGAGCCAGAAGGGTACCGCCATATAAGAGAACCCTTGGCAACGTTCACAAAACTCACACTTTCACTCTCAAAATCAAGGAACACACCAACCCGGCCCTGAGGCTTCTCTATATAGTGAGAAAGCATTGGGGAGGTTGTCAAGAGACTATGGTCATCATCTTCCTTGACAAAAAGGAGAAGAAACACGTCTTCGGATTCAATCACTGTGCCATTCCTTCTTATCCAGGAATCCTTACAGACTCCTACAGCCCAGTCCAAAGGATCCTTCATATCTAATTCCCAGTACAGTTTCCCAGAGTTGAAAGTCTCTGTTCCCCATGCAGCAAAATATTTAATTCCATCAGAATTCAAAGATAAGTCTGGAAGGACGTGCCCAAATCTCAAACTTCTCACATCATCAAATAGCTTGAGGTTATCACTGGACACTGTATTTTCAAAGGATATTTCCACTGTAGAATGAAGAGAACATTCAAATCAAAACCAACTTTTAAATTGCTGTTAGATGAGAAGGTCTACCTGAGACTTAATGTGGGAGGGGAGGGGGTGGCAGAAGAAGAGGGGTAATTGTGGCTGAAGTGCATTGCACTCACAGGTTTCTAGAATACTGCAGAACAAAAAATAGTTCAATCACAATGAAAACACTGATAAATATATGGACACTGTAATAAAAGGGTGGGCATGTCTACTTCCAGCTCGTTACTTTTCATTTCATCTGAGAAATTGGAGGTCTGCATCCCCATTCAATACAAAGCAATAATTCCTTGCTATGGTTCATAGTTAGTTCTACCATGGAAATCTAAAAACTGCTTCATCATATACCAACTTGTCTTTTCTTGATGCTTGTGAAATATTGCTCTGTGCATTCAGTTATTTTATGTTTGTTCATACATGCTATTATATTAAATTTAATTCATTTAGTATATTATATTTATATATATTTTTAATAAAATACATATCACACATTCAATTTCTAAGACATTTTAAGGGTAATGTTTAAATAACCTTCATCACTCAGTGCACTTAATTTAAAATGGGAACATACTGAACTAATTTATAATTGTCTTATTGATTGAAATGGTTTTGTATGTATAGCCCGAATCACATTTATTATTTTACCAGTGATTGCTTATTTTTTTCCTTATTTAATCATGGTGATCAGATTACTAAATATAATTATAAATACCAATTGGCAGACCATTACCTTTGGGTAAATTAAAGGTTAATAAATGGAAAGGTTTCCCATAGAAAATCATTATTGAAAGTCATTACACTATGCTCCCATCACTGGGCTGACACTCACCTTGGAAACACTTGAGCCTGTCTATCAGTCCAGTGATGGTCTGGGCAGGAAGTGCTGGCTTTATAGGCTGAGGCAAGTGCAGCTGCACTGATTCACTCCTGAAAGTAGGAAGAGGACATGAATCTTCTGGTGACAAAAATGACATCACAGTTTTTAAGGAACTAAACAACAATTCTGCTGAAAATGTTTCTTGAAACCATTTTCTCATGAATGTACCTCTGTGAACATGAGAGGGGACTGTTTCTAGGAATCTTTCCTACTTAATTTGCCAGTTAACAACCCATTTCTCAGAGGTACCCATGTCTCTCATTAGCTAACTAGGAAAAACTGTCCCATGCACCTCAATGTTTCTGATTTACAATGTCAAATCATACATGGTTGCATTTATGAACATCAACATTCAGCCCAGGATGACATATATCCCTCGACCAACAGGGGAAATTCAGGCTGACTTCTCATAAAGGGGAAGAGGAAATCATATTCAAACAAACACATGAACACACAGTTGATTACTCTCTACATAAGCTATGCCTTCACTTTGTTAGAAACAACTTAAACACTTTCATAGCTCTCCATGGTATCCCAGTTTACACTAAAGTCAAAATTTACCTGGCCAATAGGTCTCCCAAGTCCTGCAAAGAAAACAAAAAAGGGCTTATTTTTTTTTTTTTTAAGAAACTGAATAGTATTTTGTTTTTGGAAAGATCATGTAGCATCAAATATCATCACATCAATGCTTCTTATGAATTCATTTTCATCTCTCAGGAAAGTTCCACTAAAGCATATTTAAAGATTCTGAATTTGTGATTAAATCAGAATCCAGAGGGTCTAAAAAGTATGAGAATGAAGGATATCAGTACACAGTGTTTACTGTCCCCAATTCCATAACTTTTAAACAGAAGAAAGAGAACATAAGCTTTTCCAAGATGTCTGCATATTGTCAAATGGCAGGCAAAAAATGAAATGTTCATGAATAAATTGTTATTTTTCTGGATCTTAGAGAAGCAAGATACAACAGAAAAATTAAAAAAAAATTCTAGGAGAGCTACTCACAAAGTTTCATAAATCTTGCTTATTTATAGTCAGAATAGAAGGTAAACTTTAAGTAGATTATATCCAAAGAGGAAAGAACCCCATAATTGATGCAGGAAATATAAAAAAAAAAAAAACTACCAAATGATGTGGTCAAAATGAGAACACCAAATCATATAAAATACTTTCATGCACAACTAAGTTCTTACCTGGAGCAGCTCCACATATGGTTTATGGGACATTTTCACCAGCTCCTCATATATTTCTCTTAAGTCTTTCTTCTTTTGAACCATATTGGCTTCACTTTTTTTGAGTTCCTCTAAAATTCTTTTGCTTTCCTTTCTAAGAATGTCTAGATGTCGATTTTCCTCCTCATGAAGAACTGGATGTAGTTTCCTGTACTCAGCCCTGATCAGCTCTTCCCTGAGATACACATAGTACTGTAGAGAGAGATTGTCTAGATCACAATTCCAGTATGATTTTAACCTCCTCCACCTAAACCTCTCTCTTTGACCATTGGCTTTTTACCAGTATGTTACATATGCCATAATTTTATATGCATCCACATTTCAGAAATTAGAAATTCACTCTTCTTTTATCTTCATTCTTTCCCTAGTTTTTATAACAAAGGCAAGGAACCAAACCCATCCTTCCCTCCAACCACTTTTATCTGCTTCATGAATGCCTGAAGTATCTTAAGAAAAGGTTTTGATTGACAATTTATCCTTGAAATATAAATTTCTACATGCAAGCGATTAGAATTTAGAGCTGTCACATAAATCACTATATGCAATATTCTGATCTCTGGTTAGAAAATTAATTTTCATCTCAAACCTCCCTATGACACTGCCTGGTCATTTGTTTGATCAACAAAGTCAAATTTTACTTTTAGGATTCCAAGCCACATGAAAGGATGTACCTAATATCCTTACACCATGATGCTATAGTGAATAATGGATGGATTTCTAGTACGTCTGTTTCAAGCTGAGTCTCAAGGAAATAGACTCATACTTACGATCCATGGACTGATTATTTTGTTCTCTTCATTTATATTTCTTTGATTTACTTGGATCTTTTCCCATAATGATCTTATTTGCTTTAGGAGCTTCTCCTGTAAAAGAAATATAAACTCAAACAATAGAGAAGCAAGCACATTTGGTTTCAATCTCACAATGATAGAGAATAAAACAAAAAGAGACAAGTACTTTAGTGAGAAAAAAATCATATTGCTTTCCTTTTGCTATTGATGATTGTGAATTTTAGGAGATATCAGACTGCAAAAGTGCATAATGTAGCCATGTGCCTAGGGATACTGATAAAGATGAATAGTTTTTACATAGTGTGGCAATTGGCTTCAGATTTTGTTTTCCGATACTCTACCCTGCTAATTCCCCAAAGCCTTTTATCTTATTTATTCCCTGGTGTTAGTAAATATTCATGCTGTATAGAAATGTATTGCATTTGTCATTTTGGTAGCCAGTAACTCTTTTCAAAATGAGCAGTTTCTAATGCCTTAACCATGAAAATTAAAATTAAAGTGACCAACTCCTTTATCACTACCTCTGTGGAATCAAGCTCCACCAAGGCAGGCATGCTTGCATATTTTATTTATTGCTTACATCTTTGGTTCTTAGCTTCTTCCTTGATGCTTATAAAATTACCTAGCATACAGAAAAGAGTAGGGCAATCATCATCATCCAGATCCTCAGCTCTTTTGTTATCTCTTAGCTCCACTGCTTAGCCTTCACAGTGTTCTCACTGGTGTCACTTACCTGGTATTCCTCAGCAGCCCTTTCCACTGAAGGGTGGTTGTGAGCCCTGTGCTCCTGAGGGTTGCAGCAGAGCCAACAGAGCAGGTTCTTGTTCTCCTCACAGAAAATCTTCTTTGTCTGCTGGTGGGTCACACATATATTTTTCTCAGAGCTCAGGAATTGCCTGAGATGAGCCAGCCTTGCGATAGATATAAGATTCTTCAGAAGAATATTATTTTTGACATCTCCCTGCTGTGACGGCTCCCTGCACACAGGGCAACAGGCAAGAATTTGGGCTTGTCCCCAGGGAACGAAGAAACAGGGCCAACAAAAGCTGTGCCCACAGCCTATGGTGACTGGGTATATAAGGTACTTCAGGCAGACAGAGCAAGTGAGTTCTTTCTGGAACACTTGTGGTATTTCTGAATCCATTATTCTGAGGGAAGAAAACCATAAGGATTTAATCATCTACCCTTAAAGAGATAAAGACCTGAACCAATTTTTACTCATATTCTCATTGAATAGCACACTACTCTCTAAAGAATAATAAACTTGCTTTTGTGCATGACAAAACAGAACAAACTGAGTAAATAAAGAATGCAAATAAATCAAATATTTAAGTGAGTAGCTCTCTATACAAGTCTGAACTATTATCAAGCACCTTTCATACTGTGAAAATATGTGATTATCTTAATCTGCTCCAGAAAACAAAGACTTCTTTACAGTTTTTATTTAGCTAAAAATCTGGGTTTTCATTTCTACTATAGTTGAACTTCTAAGAATGGAAGAGATAACATATTCCTAAAAATATTTTTGGATCTACAGGTAAAAAATTATACATTATCTGAGAACTAGTTTCAGAGTGCTTATAAACTATGTAGGAGCACTGGGTATGGTAGCACACACCTGAGACAGAAGCAGTGCAAGTTCCTCACCAGCCTCAGCAAAAGCAAGACTCTAAGCAACTCAGTAAGACCCTGTCTCTAAATAGAATCCAAAATAGAAATGGGGATGTGGCTCAGTGCTCCAGTGCCTCTGAATTCAGTCTCCAGTACAATAAATAAATAAATAAACAAACAAATAAATAAATAAATAAAAAGAAAAGAAAAAAGTTTAAACTATGAAATTACATTTGATTTTGTTTGGGAAAGTAGTAGCTACAGCTCATGTGGCAATTGTATACGTACCTTAAGAATTACTCTGTGGTTTCAGCAGTTCTTGCTACAGAATTGAAACTATGAATTAAGCTTAAGGATCAGGCTCTCAAGGTGTGGAGGGGATCGATTTTGATGTCATTCAGCCAGGTGAGCTTCAAACTCTACTCTGGAGAAGAATGAGCTGGTCTCCTGGAGTGCACTTTTATTGAGTCCCTGAAGACCACACCCACTTCTTCCTTGATTGCATTTAGGGTGTTTCCAATCAGTGTTAGGTAATTAGTGTAGGTAATTAGATTAGCATGGGCAATTAGATTAGTGTGAGTGGTTTGGATGTGTGGGTAATTAGTTTTCAGGTAGAAAATTTTGATGTAATCCCTTCTCTAATCTTCATAAACAAACATTTAGAGTCTTGCCCAGGGTTACTGACTTAAAAAAAAAATTGATGGTTGTGGGGGAGGGATAAGCAGCCAAAGGGGATTATTCAAAGTACTGAAAACCTTCTCCAGGGATCCACCACAGTGGCACCCCCCAGGCCAGGGACACACTCTTGCCCACAGTTACTGACTTAAAAAAATTGATCCCCAAATTCAGATTATATCTAAAGATTTTCAGTTTTGTTCTTTTATTTTTCACCTTTAAGAACAGAAAGAGGGTGTCATCATATGCATTTTTTTAGTATGTGTTTTTGAACATTTATAAAAATTTTTCTTTCTGACTTTTGCTTTAGTTTTATTCTCCCAGGTGGAGAGGGATTAAGTTTAGAAATTTTGTTTTCCTCACCAGATGAGGTGGCCCACACCTATAATCCCAGTTCCTGAGGCTGAGGCAAGAGTATCAGAAGTCCAAATGAAGCCTCAGCAATTTAGTGAGGCCCTAAGCAATACAGAAAGACTCTACCTCTAATTAAAATATTTAAAAGGGCTGAAGATGTGGTTCAGTGGTAAAGTGTCCCTGCGTTCCATTTCTGTTTAAAAAAAAAAAGAGAAAGAAAGAAAAACCGAAAGAAAGAAAGAAGAAAGAAAGAAAGAAAAATAGTTTTGTTTTTATTTTTGTCACATCAATCTCATGCTTTCCCAAAAGAGACCCAGGACTCTTCCTTGGGGCTACTTCTTAAGTAATGCCACATACACAGCATGAACTGCAAGAGCAAAGATGGCCACATTCCCCACACCCCATTCTGTGTGGCAGTGAAAATTTGTCACCCTGAAGCCTCTATTGATTCTTTCTAGCTTTGGTAGACTTTCCTGGAACCTCCCTTTTACACAGATCAGTATCAAAGATGATTTTGCCAATAGTTACTAATTATGATTTTAGGATGTAAAAACAATGAGACTTCAAAAAATAACATATTGGTTGGTATGGTATGGAAATATGAGTTTTGGTTTATAATACAAGAATCCTGGGCTATAAAGAAAAATGTATAGAAGTCACTGCCCTGAGATTTCCTCTGCTACAAAGGCATTAGGCTGTCAAGGAGGCCCTATTTCTTCCTCAGATTATCAGAGTGATAGATGAGGGAAGCACCTCATTTCCAGGGACCTCAAATGTTCGCATTTGCTAAATTTCTTCCCAAAGGAAGAAATCAAGTAGATACAACCTCTCAGACTCTGAATTGTAGACAGAGGGGCTATATAGTACTATGGTTTAAATGTGGATTTTTCCCAAGAAAACTCAAGTTGAAATATTATTCCATAGAGCAGTAGTATTTTGAGATGAGGTCTTTAAGTCATTAAAAAGAATTAGTGCCTTTCTCCTTGGACTGAGCCTGAATGAAGGAGTAAATTCTGGGCCCTTGGAAAATGAGTCATTTTCTAGAAAGTGGGTTGTTATGAAGGGTGTCACACATGTGTTCAGATTTTCTTCACTGGACAATTTCTCCTACTGCTTCTCTGCTATGAGCAGATTCAGCATGAAACCCTCACCAAAAATTCAGGCATCATAACCTAGAACTTACCTGTCTTCAGAACTGTGAGATAAATGAATCTTTTCTTTATAATTTACCCAGATTCAGGTATTATATTAAAAGAACAGAAAATGGACCAACACAGAAAAGAAAGAGACACATTCTTTTACATTGAATTTTACCTTTATTAAATCAAAAATTATCTATTCCTTCATTTTGTTACATTTCACAAATAAAACCAGAAAATATGTCCTACTTCATGTATCATAGGTGATTATATTCCCAAAATAAATTAATTAAAAATGCATAAATTTCAAACTTTATGGGATTTTAATATTATCACCACAATTAATAACAGATTAAGTAGATTTTTACAAAATTTGAGGTAACCTAAACTTAAAAAGATATATTCTGTTTGACATATTTCATAAGACCCAAGGGAGAGGGCTTCTTTAGATATTGGATTTTCCATAGTATTAGCGGCACAGTCCTTATGTATGTCTGATCAGAAGTGACCACAGCAGAAAAAAGCTTTGATATGGGGAGAGAAAGAATAGGAAGAAATACTGTATATCAAAAAACTTTGAGAAACATTAGTAGAGATCACAGTTCTACCTTCACAATCTAGGAATACTCTTATTCAGCCAATGGCCTTAGTACTTATTGAAATACAAGTGGGGAGTTGGTAAAGAGAGTGTAATGGGAACCCTCCTTAACACATCCAAAGAGGAAGAGACCTTCACCTCATCCATCTTGTCATCTTTGTTCCCTTCCCAATAATCATTACAGACTCCAAAAGCCCAGTTCCAAGAGTCTCCCACTTCCATCCCCCAGTGATATCTGCCCATGGTAAAAGTCTGAAAACCCTAGGCAAGAAAGCATTCTGATGTTGGAGTGATCCAGGAGGCACCTTGAAGATCACATCCAACATTCACACTTCTCAACTCTCAATACAGGAAGATGTGGCAGTTGAATCTTTCAGACACAGAGTAAGAAAAAAAACTGTAGACCTGTATATAAACAGAATAAGAAGCTAAAGTTCTAAGAAAAGTCATTCTGTGAAGAACTGACATTACTGGAAACTGTGAAGTTATAGCAGCAATGATGTTTTTGGCTGTAACATCTAGTACAATTGTGGGCATAAAGAGTTAATCTGCAGAACAAATAATTTTTTATGTATTTGTTATTTATTTATTTATTTTCATTTATTTGTCATTCATTTATTTCATTATTTATTTGCCACAGATATGGAAAATTGTTGAAAATGTGAAAATTTACATACTGAGTCAAATATAAGATCAATATCTTTGAATTTAATTTTTATTTAAAAATAGCTAGCTACAGAAATTATGCCCTTAACTCTCGTCAGGCATCAAAAATATTAGTATCAAAATAAAATTCCCATTTCTAAGAAATGGTGTCATTCATTTGAATGATGTGAAGATTTCCTCTCTTTTCAGCTTCTCTATACAACTGGATAAAACAATTTACACATTTTAGAAAGAGTAATTTAAAATTTATTTATGCAAAACTCCTCACTATCCCTGATTCTTGTGCATTCTCTGCACTGCCCTGCATTTTTGCCATTTGACATGTAGCTTTTTGTACTGAGATTTAACATGTAGCTTTTTTATCAATTTATAAAATTGATTTTGTTTTTATTATTTCTTCTTGGTGATAAAGCTGATTTCTTCTCTTAGTTTTTATACATCAGTTCAAAAATTTATGTTATGTAAATTATATATACCCTTGGTAACAACATAAAGTCCTAGTAAATTGTTTACCTTCGAAAGCTTCTCTCAACAATTAAAATTTATGCAGGAGTAAGGTGGCCCATGCCTGTTATCTCAGGTACTGAGACAAGCAGTACAAGGCCAGCTTGCACAAATTATTGAGAACTTGTTTTTAAAAAAGCTGGGCTTTGCACATTTGGCTCAGTGGTGGGGTGCTTGCCCAATATGCTGGCGGGCCCTGGTTAAAATGACAGTATTATTTTTTTTTTCAAAATTGAACATATTAAGCAACTGCATCATTTTGTTTGTAAAATTGAATAATGAAGCTTAAATCTGAGTTTAGCTCCATTTATTAGAAATTTCAATTTTTACATCACTTGTTTTATATATACCTAAATAAATATGACCCTGGGTATTTTTAACTTTTAACTTTTAAATTTTTATTTTTAACTTTTATTTTTATCTTTCACTTTTTTATGCTATAAGTCTGAGGCATATCAAAGATTTGCAGTCATTGTTTATTTGTTTCTGGAAATTATTTATTAAAAATATTTTTAAAAAGAGGAAAACAGTACCCACATGGTCCTAAAAACAAATAATAGATTATAAGAATATTGCCAATGGACTTACCCTTACCTCAAAAGCAGTTGAGCCAGTCAATTAGTCCAGTGATTGGCCCTGAACTGAGATCTGGATTCACATATTGGGCTACACACAGCTGTATGAATTCAATTTTGCAAGAAGGAAGAGGCAGTTAACATATGTACAGTCCCAAAATCATGACTTTTCTTAATAAGACAAAATATAAGGATTCTTGCTACATACAGAAAAATAAATAAAAATGTTCTAAGTGTTTAAGAGCAAAATTATATTCAACATGTGAGGTGGAATGAAAAGAATTACCATTCATGATAATATACTCCATTATGTAAAGGTTTTTAAAAACATTGTTTACTTATACTCTTTTGGAGAACAACATATTTAATAATAAAATATTTACTGTTCAGAAAAATAAGCTTTTATTTATTGTATTAAGACTTAAATTAAGGTCTCACAAATGCTAGGCATGCTTTCTCACACTGAGCAAATACCCAGCCTTTTAAAAATTTTTATTTATTTATTTTTAAATTTTGAGACCAGTTCTCACTAAGTTGTGAAGGCTGAACTTGAACTTATAATATTTCTATATCAGACTTCCAAGTCACTGGAATTACAGGTGTATACCACCATGCCTGGTGTAAAGAAGATTAAAAAATATGGATGCTGTTTCAAATGCCTGTAATAACCAGCAACTTATGAGGGTGAGGCAGAAGGTTCACAAGTTCAAGACAAGCCTTAGGATTTAGTAAGGTTTTAAGTAACTTAGTGAACTTCTGTCTGCAAATAGAAAATTTAAAAAGGATGCAATCTGGCTCATTGGTTATGTGGTTCAGTAACAATCCCCCCCAAATTAAGTTTAAAAAGAATTCTTAATAATGAAAAATAAAAAATGATGAATGAAAAATTAAAATTATTAAAAATGAA